CTTCCCTTTGCCATCAGAAATTCCTCAAGCGTGAGCCAGGACCGTGCTGGGGAGCAGGGCTGGCTGGGCAAGAATCCCCGCCCCCCCCGAAGATCAAACGGAATGCAGCCGCTTGTCTTTCTCCTCTCTGATCATATATTAATAAATGTATCTCGCTGGGCTCCAGCTCTCTCCCCACGATCCGCTCTGAACTCTCTGGCATCTCTGCACCCTCTTTGCTTTCTCAGCCACTCGAGAACTTTCCCATTAGCTGGCCCCTCTCACAGCCCGACGAGCTCAGCAACTTCACGCATGACGGTACACATCCTTTGTTCCGAGTGCCACCTTGGGCCCTGAACCAGCAACCATATGCGGGTTACCTGATTTACTCCTTTTAATATACTTCAGTGTAATTATAACTGCATGAAAGAGAGGACAAATTGGCAAGTGATTACGTTGTTAATTTGGCAATGTTTTATCACATTGTGGAAGCACAGTTTCCTCTCTAATTGTATTGCGGGGGGACACGTTTGTTTGCAGTTCGGCTTATCGAGGGATTCTTGAGCATAGATATGAAATACACAGGAGACGGGGAAATCGGCTGTCCTCCCCATAAATATTCCTTTATTTACGTGTGTTTTGCAGCCTCTTTAAAAAAATCTAACTCGTTTATTCAGGCCTAGTTAATGAAATGCTACAGAATGTATAATAAGGCTATGACAGTTCCAGCTGCTGGATGGCTTTAGATTGGGAAACTGGAGATACCCCCAGTTAAAAGGGCTGAATGCTTCCCTTTCAGAATCTCACCAGCTGTGCGTGCCTCACGACCGTCCCGCCTGAGAATGCAACTGTGGTCCCTGGAAAATGCCCCAGTCCTGGCTGCCAAGAGGCCTTCCTCACCTTCCTGTGTGTGATGTGTGTCTGCAGCATGATTGGGGCAATGGCTCAGACTCCCTCAGTCATTATCCTTATCAGGTAAGCTTAGCCCCTGGAACCCAGACCCGAGGGCCAGCCTCCCATCTCCCGCTCCCCACCTGCTGTGTGTCTGCAGTTCTCCTGGAAATCAGAACTCCGGGGACTATATGAGTCTTACAAGCCAGCTTCCCTAGGCTGGTAGGAATCGGTTACGTTTGATAGAGACCTCACACCAAAGGTAGAAAGCACAGCCCAAGAGAGAACACTGCACTTTCCTGTCATCCCAAGAATAGACTCCGCAGGTGATTTGGAAAGGGACCGTGGTCCCTCATTGATATTTGCAAAGAGCCACATTGTTGGAGTAAAATGAAAATGACATTGGACTAGCCAAGTCCCTGTGTCTGGCTCCTCTCTGGGCACTGATTCGCCTTATGAGCTTGGGCCCATTTTCCCTCAGACTTGTTTCTGAATCTGGAACTAGAGGTGATGTCATGGGTCCTGCCTGCCTCCTGCCGTGGTGTGGGTCCTGCCGAGACCATGTATGTGCAAATGCCGTGAAGATGTGAGGGGTCATTGACAAAGTGTGATGCAGTGCTGAGTGGCTAACGGAAGGCAAGCAGTGACTGCTTTTGTATAAGTGGATGGTTAGAGAGACCCCCCCCCCCACCCCGTAATTCTTGTTTCCCCATCTCTCAGGACCTGTCCTGGGGGCAGATGAGGTGCCTCAAAGGTGAATTACTAGGTAATATTCTGAGTAACTTACACAATTACAAAGTTATCTAGACTGTTTGAGGAACCTAGAAGCAGAATGCTCCATGCTCTGGCATCCGTCTGAACCAGAAGAAGTGGCACCAAACACGGATCCATCTCATCAGGATGCAGTTAAACAAACCAATTCAATCCCAAGGGCTAGAGATAAAAGTAGGAATGAAATGCTTGGATGCAGCCTGTACAAATGTACATCACCAGCTGCTTTATCTGGCCTATCTCTTTTTCTCACTGTGCCTACCCCACTTCCTGATCCTGGTCATGAATTCACGAGGAAAAGAATTTACACAAAGTACTTATGTTATAAAGTCATTAGTAAAGCACTTTTAATGTGCAGAAGCATTAAGGGTACAATAGCAAATTACCATTTTATACTTATTAAATTTGAAAAATAAATTTAAAAAATTCACACCCAGCGCTGTAAGCAAGGCTCTAGCAAAACGGGTAAAATCACATATTGCTGGTGGCTTTGAGAGGCGTATCACTTCTTTCAAAAAGCAGTATGACAAATGTAAGTCAACAGCCATAAAAATGTTCATATTTTTTATGTGGTAACCCTACCTATTGCTACTTGTCTTAAGAAAATACTTCTCTACGAGAAGAATAGTTCAGTGGAGACAGATTTTTATTACGTTAACTATAATAGCAGAAAAATCTGAATTGGAATAGTGAGTTAAATTATAGTACCACAGCTCGGTGGAATAATGAAAATGCTTAAAAATGCGAAAAGTGTTTATGAAATGAACTATTGAATTGAAATTATATATGGAAGATGATTATATATAATATGCACATGGACAAAACCCATCAGATCTCAGGTAGGGGTTTAGGGTGGCTGCATTACTTTTTGTTATTAGAAATTCCTTTGAAGTTATATTGTGCCGTTCACACACAAAAGGCACCAAGAAGCAGGAAAAATGACCTTTACAACCATTAGCAATGACTGGTCCCCTTTTTTCTCTCCCCTTGACTCCTCTGCAAAAACTCAGCTCAGTAGTTTGTAGCTGGCAGACCAAACACAGAAAGTCATTTGAAATGTTAATCACTTCCAAATCTCAGCTTGATAGATAGCTCTAGGAGGTTTTCAGGAAATCTTTGATTCCTTTTCAACGCACCAGCAACAGATGGCCTGGATGACCCAGGCTGGGCCTTGTCTACCTCATAGCTGGAGGTATGCCTTTTGAGGGGTCCAGGGTAAACCATCTCCCGTCACCATTCACTCCAATTTGCCATCACAGATGTTCTAGGGAGGTTACAAGGGCACAAACAGTCTGAGCCACAGCCCAGATGAGCACCAGCCCTTGTCCCACGCCAGAGCACTAGACCCACTCCCACTCTTACTCCAGACAGAAACATACTTGCCAACAACAGTGCTCAGGACATCCGCAGGGGAGGATACCAACTAGCAGTCACTTAGGTGCGCGCCCTGGGCTCTTGTTTTAACTTCCTGTGTTTGCATCTTTACTAACACTCAGATGGGGAGAGGCCGGAGGCTCAGAGAGTGATTAAGCAATCTCCTCAAGGTCACGTAGCTAGTAAGTTGTGGAGCTAAGGCCCTCTCCCTGGCCCGGCCTGGCACTTTCAGTGATGTTGACCCAAACCCTCCATTTCTCCGTAACTAAAGCCGAGAAGGATTATTGCTCCTGTGGGAACCAGTTTCCCAACAGGATATGAAGGCAGATCTTAGCATCTTGTTCACTTTATTCCTAGTGACATGATAGCTAAAAGGAAACCAAACTTCAAGTGATAAGTACTCTAGCTCATTATGCCAGCATGTTTCCTTGATAAGGAGAATTTGCCTTTATCTTTGTGTCTTTCAAGTCAGTACCTTCAAGTGAATGTGCAGAAAGTGAAACCATGGCGCCAATATTAACTCTAAAGAGCTTGGATTTTGTTCCATGCACATTCGAAAGAGAACTGACGGTGTTTCTGTCCAGAAACACTGACCTCATCTTTGATATTGTACAGGTCTCTGGCTTGATCAGCCACAGAGTGGTTTCCCCGTCATTCAATGGAAAGCCTTGACCTGCCGCCCTGGGACTGCTTACTTATACTGGACTCTGCAATTGAAAAGGAACGTGTATTTCCCCAAGACTAACACATTTTTAGTTTTCTCTGAAAAAATCTCAGAAAGAGGGCAAAGATTGTGGAAACAACATCCATGTCCTTTTTGGTGTGACAGTGTCTTTTGGCCTCTTATATACCAAGAAGCCAAAGGCATGCCCATCTGATGCTCAAACCAGGTGGTAGGTCATTGGATGGTTGCCACTGGATGACTGGAGGAATGACCCCTGGGGTCGGTTAAGAATAGTATTCTAGCTACCAAGTCCAGAGATGGGTTATATATCTTGTGTACTAGGTATCCCACTGGATTTAGATGTCCCATTGGTAACTTTATTTCTAATGTTTATTTTCCACAGAATTGCTTGCCTAGGGTCCTTCCTGCACCACATGAGTCTTCCTGGCCTTTCGGCCACACTGAAATGCTCCTGGTGTTTCCTGAGGCTCAGCCACACAGGACTGTCTCTGGGTCTAGCCTGGTCCTTCCAGGGGGCAGAGTGGTGCACTTACCTCCCCGTCCTCCCTAGAGACTCATAATGGGGACGGGACGAGAGGAGGTTTCTCTGCTGGTGGTGTTCAGGATGACCTGGAGCGCATGTGGTCGGTCAGATGCCTCCCCCTCTACCAGCACACCAGAGACAGGGCTGCCCGGGGCTTAGTGGGAGACATGTGCCCACCCACCTACCCACTTATACATTCACTCAGCATGTGCTGTGCGTCACACACCACACTGATGATGAACGAGATGCGAACAGTCCTTGGCCTCAAGGAGAGAAGACAAGCATTGAGTAAATACTAGTTTCGAGAGTAAGAGGCATAACGCAGGCGATCTAAGACCAGCTGTGAGGGCCTCTCTATTTGGAATCGGTCACCATTTCCAAACCCCCTCTACTGTCACTCTTATCCCAGAAAGTGTTACCCTCTGAGACTGTGCTAGAAAATGTGTGAAAAGATCATGCTCAGGGACTGTTGTGGGTAAACCAAAGCCGAGAACATTGAGTCGGTTCAAAACAAAGTGATGCAACTATATGAAGGTACCTTTCCAATTTAAAAGGTACCGAAACTGGATACAGATGAATGGATTATTTCACAAGTGGTCCATCTAGGGAATCGACCCATGCTAGTCTGGTTGATTTCACAAAATGGTGCTAGAATGACAAAGGTGTTTATGGTTCTTGCCTGTTTGTATAGCATAAGGGGAACTGTCTTTCCTGTCAGTATTTTCCCCAGATACATATACCCACCAATTTAAGATGTTTCCCTGTCCCAGCAGAAGCAAAGTGCCTTTAACTGCACAGAGTACCAATTATGCTGATTTTTTTCCTCTTATCATTGGGAGGATAGAAAATGCATGTGTGGTGATGCTCCCCCACTCTACCCTGGTTTGGGTGGATGGACAGATGAATGTGTAGTATCAGGTAGCAAGTAGGGGACCCTTATTTCTGAAAATGTTGAATGAATGTGTTCAAACTGACATTTATTGAGCACCTAATGTGTTCAGAGCTCCGTGGACCGTACCCGGGTAAGTGAGCTCAGCACTGCTCTCAGGGAGTTCTTTCAGAAGCTGACCAGGGAAGATAAAAGACCTTGTGGACCAAATTTGCATTCCGTCCTTCAAATAACAAGATTAGTTTTAGTTAATAAAAAACACTGTTAAATTCCTAAACTTATGTCACTGCCGTTGCAGGGATTTTTCAGAGTTTAGGCAGGGAAAGTGGAAAACAAAACAAAACAAAACAAAAGCACAAAACCATTAATAATTTTCTACAGAAGGGCTCTGATGGACAGCAGCGGATGACTCTGGGGTCTGTTAATTAAAGTGGAGCGATAAGAATCTTTTCTGTTTTCCTCTTCTCTTCTTTGCACGTAGGACAGTCAGCCCTGAACTCAAATCCTACGCCCTGGGAGTTCTTTTTCTCCTCCTCCGTTTGCTGGGTACGTATTATCTCTTTGTTTCCTCAATAATGAATTGGATGCTTATAACCAGGTGAGTACACATCAGTGGAATCATCCCCTTTCTTGAGTTTGTCATTTTTCCTGTGAGGTTTTTTGGTAAACAAGAGAAACATCAAGCCTGTCAATTTTGCTCAGGGTTTAGACCTAAACTCACACACTCCCTGGATATTGCAGAGTTTTTGTTGCTATCAGCTGTGCCTTTGTACCACCCTTAATTCTCATTGGCATAAGGAGGAAAAGCGATGGCACCAAAGGGAAGGAAATTTGATGGTGTCATTTGGAACCCTCATTAAGCAGCCCATGAGCAGCTTGTGAAATGCTTCACTTGTGGGGCTTCCAGCTCGAGGAGAGAGGTATTCTCACAGTGCTTTGCAGACGGAAACTTTGCATCCTTTCAATTTTTCCAAACTGATGTAGTTAATTTACCTTGGGTTTCCTGGATGGGGCAGATATGACCTTCATGCTATAGACCCTACACTCCAAGGTTTGGTATGGATAGAAGGAATTAAGTCTAACGCCCCAATTTTTAAGATGGGAAAACAGGATGGGAATAGCCCATGGTTCCTCCAGGGTGCTGGGACTGGCTGGGGAGAAGCTGGAAAGGCCAACAAGGTAACCCTTCTCCCTTCTGGACCACACTGTTGCTTTATGAACTCCCTTTGTCAAGGCCCAGATCAAGATAGGACTTTTTTTTTTCTTGAATAATAAAGCTGTGGTCTTCTTCAATGGGCATGAAATGGTAAATAGATGTGGAAAGGGAAGTAACCATGGCCTATATCTTCAGAGTAAAAATAAAGTTTCTCATTCCAAATAGTATATAACCCGGATGAGCATAAATAATTAACTATAGAAATGTTTATAAAAATGTCTGTAAAAGTTAAAAATTGGCAACAACCTAAATACCCAACAGCAGGGAATTAGTTAAATCCATTATGAGCTCTAATTCCAGTAGGATTTATGTCCCCCTTTAAAGTTCTGCAAAGAAAAATATTCATAGACCTGGAAAAGGCACATGATATGTGGAGGGGGATAAAGAGGTCTTTAATATATTATATATGCAAATGTTTTTAAAGTCTATATAAATATGGAAAATTACTGGAAAGCTAGATGTGAAAATGGTATCAGCTATTATCATTGAATAGTGAGGCTATAAATGATATTTTCTAAATTTGTTTTCAAAATTTGAATGAATATATATATATATATATATTTTATTACTTGCATGATGAGATTACTTCCTATATAATTGATATGTGAAAGAAAATTATTCACCCTTAAATCCATTAATAAGGTAAGGCTTTCCCTGGGGAATGGCAAATACATGACACATGCCCTATCTCTGCCTATAGCAAATAACTTTCAGTCAATTGCTGTGATCACTTTTGCCATGCCCAGGACAAGACCTCAGAATCTTCTCAATCACTATCAATCCATCAATCCACATCTCTTGGTACATATGGAGAAACTTAAATGGCATCTTTGTCTTATTTCTGGTTCATGGCAAATAGAAATGTTCTAGGTATAATAATACCTAGTTCAAACAAGTTCAGCAGTAATTCAGACTGAAACATTTAGGCCTTCCTGGAAGTTGTAGTGGCTTTTAGAGCTCTCTAACTGCACAGAGTACCAACTACGCTGATTTCTTTTTTTCTCTTATCATCATTGGGAGGATAGAAAATGCATGTGTGGTGATGCTCCCCCACTTCACCCTGGTTTGGGTGGATGGACAGATGAATGTGTAATATCAGGTAGCAAGTAGGGGACCCTTATTTCTGAAAATGTTGAATGAATGTGTTCAAACTGACATTTATTGAGCACCTAATGTGTTCAGAGCTCCGTGCACCATACCCGGGTAAGTAAGTGAGCTCAGTGCTGCTCTTAGGGAGTTCTTTCAGAAGCTGACCAGGGAAGATGAAAGCCCTCCATCTATGGAGTTGCTGCAGAGGTCTCCGTATCTCTAAACGGATGCTGAGGACTCAATATAGCTGGTAAAAATTAGCCTTCAGAATAATTTTGATAGCACGAAATGAAAGAAAATTTGCAAGCTATTTTTGAAAAGTTAATGAAAATTATAGGACACTTGAAGACAGAACTGAAAATTATAGAGCATGTGTAATGTGACATGCTGTTTCTAAAGCTGGTTCTCTATTTGTATGTCTGCTCCGGGAATAATCAACCAGGCATTATCTAGAAGAGTGTTTTTCAACCTCTGTGAGCCACAGCAAGAGATAAGCTTTACAGTGTATGGCCCAGTACATACACACATGTCACAAATATAGCTGAAGCAAAGATTTCATGAAAAAATATTCACCCTTAATATGCATGATGTACTCTGCTACTTTCTATCCCATTCCATCCTTTTTCAATAGTGGGTCATGACCAACCATACTGACTGTATTAGCCATATGGGTCACACATCCCAGTTTAGAAAATGGCTCTAGAAAGATATGAGACAGTTTCATCTTTTAATTAAAAGTGGCTTTTATCAAAGAGGTCTTTGCACTTGGCCTGATTCCATTTCCTGCAGCACCCAATAAGATTAACCACCTTTACTGTTAATGAAGGGCCAACCGAGAAATCAGATTTCATGACATTGTCAACCTTTGTGCTTGGCCCCCACGTAGGTAATGGGGATACAGTGAGGACGTCGCAGTTCAGTGTGACGAGACCTGAGATGCAGCCAACACAAGTGACTGACAGGGGGACATGTGGGAGAGCCACCTAGCCTGGCCTGGGGATGGGGACAGGGGTGTGGGTTTGAAAGGATGTTCTATCTACCTAAGACGTGAAGAAAGAACGAGGAAGAGTTACACAGCTGAGCAAAAAGGAGAGAGTGCTTTAGACAGAGGGACTTAAAGGAGTAAAAGCCTGGAAGTGAACAAAGGCTGAAGCGGGCTGCAGGAAGGCCGTGTGTCTGGGGGGACTGGCAGAAGATGGGGCTAGGGAGGGCGGCTGTCGGGGAAGGGCTGCTGCCCTTTCGACAAGTTTGACCTTTATCCCTAAGGCAGATGAAGTCACTGAAGAGCCATTGTGCATTTTTAGAAAGGCCCACTGTCTACCATGTAGAGAATGTGGGAACTGAGTAACAAGCCACTGGTATAACAGAGTAGCTGCTGGAGACCCAAGCTGAGATGCTGGCTACCAAGATGGGGAGATGTGGGTAGAGGAAGAATTGTCAAGGCCATGTCTCTGAATGGGAGTGGACAGACTGGAGTATCTGAGAAGGAGGAATCCACAGTGACAGCTCCTTATGAAAGATTTGGATCATGTGGTGCATGGGGATATTATTTATTAAAACAGGAAGACCAGTAATGAGGAGCAAGTTGGCAGTGGTATAGACCAACACTGTCCAACAGAACTTTCTGTGATGGTGGAAATACTCCAAATCTGTGCAGCACTTGAAAGGTGGCTTCCATAAACTAGTTTCACTTCATTTTTATTGGTTTTCATTTAAGTAGCTGCATGTGGCCAGTAGCTATCATACTGGACAGTGCTGGTCTCAAGGCTCAGTCTCTGACTCACCACCATTGGTGGGTTGGAACTTGAGGAAGTGGGGGCAGCGAGGAGAGACCACTCTCTGCAGATACTTGGCTGGGAGGCGTATAGAGAGCAAGGTCCAGAAGTGAAGGCAAGGTTATGTTCCCCTTGTTGCTTTAAGTGCCAGTGGAAAGGAGTTATTAGAAAGGGCAGGGGCAGAGAATGCATTGGCCCAGGTCAGTGTGACACCAAGAGCTTCCCAAGCAGCCCGTGACAGCCTAGGAATGCCACTGGTGAAATCAGTGGTAGGTGCAGTGGAAGGAGTGTGGAGCAAAGAAATTAAGGACGGTGGTCACAGTGAGGCTGAAGTGATTGATTGACCGTGGTTCCTGGGCTGGATAAGGAAGAGGTGAGGTAGGAGAGGGAAGAGAGAGAAAGGAACTGGATGTAGTAATTCATGTAAAAAAGAATTCGAATCTGTGGCCAAAGCTCTGGTGTCTGTGAAGTGACAAAACCCAGTGTGTGGCATGACTAGGGAAGACGGGAACATCCTTGGCATTGAGGGTGAGCTGTTGAAAGGCCAAAGTGTGGACACACATGTCCATGGAGAAGTTCAGGTCACCCAGGACAGCAGTAGAAGTTGAGTGGGAGAGAAGACTGAGCTGGATAAAGGTCAGGAAATACAGAGAAAACTGAATGACCTACTCAAAGCAGAATATGCCTGATGTAATCAAATCCATCCTTCATCCTTTTGCAAATGGCCTGATCACCACTTTTCTCTCTGGGTGTGGGCATAACGTCCGCTCGAGGATCTGATGCAGAATCTTGTTCCTGGAGGTCCGCTGCCTGCCGTAGATGTTACACCAAATTAAATGAATGGAAACAAATACACACTGAGATCATGCTATGTCAAAAGCGCTGTTCTTGATGCTGCAAAGGATATAAAAATGAGTGGGAGCCAGGGCTTGCCCTCTCCAGTAGGAGAATGAAGCAAGTATGGGTAACGTAAAGGGCTAGAAGACTTTGGACCTTGAATTGCAAGGGAAAAAAGATTTTCCTTGGCTGAGTCACTGCCAGTGTGGAGCAAATGATGGTATGAGATGGAAATATTCAGAATCCTGAGTTGGGAAGATCAACCTGGGAGAAAGGTGCAAGGTGGTTCAGCA